TATATATAAAAGAATAATCATAAATTTCTATATTTGCAGAATTTTGCTGCTTTAAAAATTTGACAAAACATGAATTCTTAATCCTTAAATCTAGGGATTCTCTTGTATAGATTATCAGTTTTATTTTCTTTTCTTGTATTTAACTAAATATATAAAGAAATTGTACAAAAAAAAACCACAGCTCATTTGTATAGCTGATTGCTGTGAATAGTATAGTATTGTGATTTTTGAGAAAACGTGACACAAAGTGTTTGAATGCCTACATAACTTGTAAGATAGATAGATTTTCTCATTGTCAAGGGCTACAATATAATATTTAAAAAAGAGGATAAAAGTCAAACTGCATATGTATTCAAGTGCATCATTCTCAGTTGCAAAAAAAAAACCAAACTATATATATATATATTGTAAATACTAACATGTATTTTAACTACAAAGTTTTTTTCCCTTTAATTTCTGTAATTAGAATTTCAGTTCAGCTTGTTGTTTAATGTAAATTAATATAACTTTAATTCATAAGCATGCATTTCACACACGAATAGGGTTATATTCTGGGACCTTAATTTTACACCGAGCATGTTACTGTTCGTTTTAGTTAGAGGCAGATTTTGTTGTTTAATTTAAAGGAAAAAAAGAGGAGGAGAAACGTTTATATACGAATCACACAACATGCAGCAAAAGTGCCTTTTTTTATTTTTTTGTTTTGTCTGTGATTGGATATCCAAAATTATAAATTAATGATTTGTACACGGTGATAAAAAAAAATTAAAAGGTAATTCGTCCGGAAACGGATTGCAGTAAGTAATAATTTGATTTTTTTTCGTTTTGTTTTGTGTTTTTTTTTTTTTTGCTTTCATAAGTTATGTGAATGTTAAATGCAAAGGTTAGTGAATAGTACAGTCTGTAATGTGTATGATAAGTAATAGTTTTGATTACTGTATCTGCCTGATGTATATAATAGAACCACCTGAACCTTGGAAAAATTGTGTTGTTGTTGTTGTTTATAATTTGGTATCCCGAGAAAGATATTTTTCATCCTCAAAATAGGTTTTCCAAGAGAATTGAGTACAAATATTTTATTTTTCAGGTATAAGTTTCTGATTAACCAGATGAGTGGTACGTTTCCTCTTGATATTTTGATTTTATAATTGATTTACTATATGTAATTATACATATAGAATAAATTGAAATTACATTAATACAAAGTCTAATTAAATTAAAGATACTTAAATGTTCAGAAACTAAAATCACAAAACTTAAATTTGAAACTATTTAAACATATTTAAGTATCAATTAAGTGTTTTATTTAAAGCTAATTAATTTATATAGAGACTTTAAATATCCCAAAAAGGGAATTTGGTTGTTCATTTGATATATAAAGTAATTACTGAGTTAACTGTATTTGCTACTATAATACTACTATTCTTCATTATTTTTGTGTTTTCATTTAAAACCTCCAATACTAGTTTTAAAAATAAATTATTGCTGCTTTTAATAAAAAGTTGTTTATATAATATTGCTAAAATATTTTTATTTAAGTATATGATTTATTTAATACATTAATTAATTTTACTATACAAATTAAGACTAGGTGGGATAACTGTATCCATTGGATAACTGTGCCTTTTTTGTAATATCTCACCAGCCAATCTAAATTAATCTGATATCAATGAATCAATGTTATCTCGCGAGTACAAATATTGATAGTATTTGAGCTGGTTTTATACATGGCTACTTCCATGGTTGCAACAGTGAGAAGTCTGGATAAGGTTTTTTTATTTGACAAGATGCAAGTAAATAAGTTTTTTTTTTAATTTAAAATCTAGTAATTGTAATTTTGAGACACAATTTATATTTATATGAATACTGTTCTACAGTATTCATATAAATATAGGTTTCCAACTTGTGTTCCACAGAACCACAATAAAATCTGTTTTCTAGTGATGTATGGATGTATGAATGTGCCAATGCAGATTTGGGATGTGAGATGTAATTGTTGTAGTCTCAGATTCAGTCCTTTATGACATCTTATACATATGCTAGAAGTTTTTATATATTTATAAACAGTGGGGACTGATTTATCATAACAATAAACTGAAATCATGATATAATGTTTGACAAGATAATTAAAACCATAAAAATGGTAAAATTTAACCTAAAGCTAGAGAATCATTAAAAAAATATAACCTTAAAAGTATCTAACTTATAAATAATACAATTGTTAAATATAATTTAATTCATCAATATCAGCAGCACAAGACTATTGAATCTAATGAAGGGAATGGCCAGTCAGATGCTCAATAGTACTGTACACACTATGATACTAGTGTGTACTATACAGTACATACACTAGATGTGACACTAGTCTGATATGAGTGTCCCATCTAGTCAAAGGGTTAATGTCCCATCATCTATAATTTCTTGTAGTGCAATAGTACATCTTACAAGCAGGCATATAAGTCAAGGATCATTAGATTTTGCAATCATTTTGTGATATTTTAAGTATTTCTCATATAAAAATGTAGTGGAAATTTGTATAAATTTACAGTGTTTTTAGTATTTGTGTACCCCAAATTAAAAATCATGGAGCATTGGCTGAGAGAAGAGCTTTGAAAAAAACTGTAGCAAGTACTTCAAATATTTCTAGTGACAAGGAGACTGGAAAGATGGATACAAATGAAAGTCTAAATTCAGTCATTAGCACTGTTTAAAATATTGAAAAACCCTTCACATTAATGACCGGTTTAAATTAAGTGATATTTGCTTTCCATTATTCGATTAATCTGTTTTTTTCAATAAATTGTTTGTATTTGCTGTTTTATCTATAATCATTAAAAATTGTCAGGGTTCAACATTTTTTACTATGATGAGAAAGGTTCTGCGATAAAAATTAGTTTGAAACCACTGCCTGTAGAATGATAGGTGAAAGTACTGTTTGTGAAGTTTTTTGTCCCTGTGTTTTGTTTTCTCGTGATAAGTCTGGA